GCCGTGCATCGTCGAGCACGTGATGCCGTTCCGCGGGTTGACTTCGCGAAAACCTCCTGAGCGACATTCGCCCACACGTCGGATTTCGCAGTCGAGCGAGCTCGTCGACCAGCTCGACGATGCTCCGTCGAATAGCGTTCGCCTAGACGAGCTCGTCGAGCAGAGCCCGTATACCAGCACCTCTCTACGGGCTCATCGACCGCGTCCTCTGCGGACTCGTCGACCGCGTCCTCTGCGAGCTCGTCGACCGCGTCCTCTGCGCGCGGTCGACGTCGAACTCTGCAGACAGGTCGAGGTCGCCTTCTGCGCGTAGTCTGCATTGTCTTGTGCGCGTAGTCTGCATCGACTTCTACTCGCCCCCGACTGCGAAGTCCGCTTCGCCCAAGCAAGGGCGGGGCCATTTCCCGTCAACACAACCGCCCTGCGCCCCACCCGTCGCTCGTACCTCGTACGCGCCCCGTAGCCCGTCGCGCCCCGTTCTTCCGTACGCACCCGCGGCGCCTCCCATTCACGCCTTCGCAAGGCCCCCTGCGGGCCGTTCGTTCGTCCCTTAACGTGGCCCCTTGCGGGCCCTTCGTTCGTCCCATAGTGCGGCCCCCGCGGGCCCTTCGTTCGTCCCGTAGTGCACCTGCACAAGCACCTGCACAAACTGAAGAACCGATCACCGTCACTTTTGGAACACCATCCGCATCACGGTGGGACAGCGCTCTTCCGCGGCCAGTGATGGCGCACCGGGGTAAACACACATTGCGAAGCCCGTTGTCTTGCCTGTATTGTGGCGCCCATCGGCAACAACGTCATTGGTGAGCGGGTGCCACTCAAGCCACAACGCCCGCCCTGTTTCGATCCTAGCCAGCGTAGCGTAGGGCCCAGGGCTCTGGTTATCCGACCAAATTGGTCTGATGGTCTGAAAATCAGACCTACTTTTTTTTCGTTTCATCTGATTTTCGAGACCAGCATTTTATTTTCTCTTAACCGTAAGACGAAGACTTTTATTTCGTCTGAAAAATAAGACAACGCGTTATACTTCGTCTGAGATTTCAGACATCGAGTATACTTTCATCTGATACCGACCAAGTATCGAACTACCCCCCCACCCCCCCCCCCCCCCCCCCCCCCCTCCCCCCCCCCCCCCGCCCCCTCGCCCCTCCCCCCCAATCTTTTACGCTGCCCCAAACCAGCCCCCCCTTCGGCAGTCCTTGGTTGCTCTAGCAGTCCAGCCAGGCCCCCCGCAATCCCTCGCTGATTTAGCCGTCTTGTCCAGCACCCCCGCAGTCCCTCGCTCCTCTACCAGTAAAGCCCCCCCTTCACCCTCTCCCCCCGCAGTCCCTCGCCCCTGTCCATTCCCCCTGGTCCATCGCGTCACAGACATTCAACAGTGGTCCTCGCAGCCCAACTCTCCCCCGCCTCTCCCAGACCAGTCCCTCTCGCCACTCCACTTGTGTTCTAGCGGGCCGTCGGCGCCACCAGGCTGCATACTCACAACAACGTGTACATAGTGTACAGTATTGGTAATTGGCTGAATCAGACCATCCAAAACAAATCATCTGAAAATTCAGACATAGCTCCAGCATTCGTCTGAAAGTTCAGGAAAACAAAAACTGCCCATCTGAACGTCAGACGAAACGTTAAAAAAATATCAGACATGCCTAAATCCTAGCAAGAGCCCTGGTAGTGCCGGGTTGCAAGTTACCAGCTGAGCCAGGTGATTTGGCCGCGATGGTCGTGTTGGCGGGAACAGTATCAATGCGAGTGTCGCGAGGTGGTAACGCGCTACTGTTGGGTGTACAGTGGCCTGAATGTTAGAGACTTACGAGAGGAATGTGAGATTAGGTAAGGGGGGGGGGGGGGTACAAGAGTGTCGAGCAATGTGTTGTACCCTCTAAGGATAACCCTTACATAGCCTAGAATGACAGAATTCATATGATGTTTTGACACACCCCCATAGGTGAATTAGGGGATAGCCAAACCAAACAGTGGTCACAAGACGAGTCAGGAGAAGCAAACAAAGCAAAACCCAGGGTGGATCTCAAGATCACCACACAGTCTGAGCACAAGCAAGCGGCCACAAGGCCAGTTCACATGCAGAGTTATATATAGAGCCTAGCAAGAGCACGCATGCAGGTATATATATAGAGACCACAGTACAAGGCAAGTCGAGCAACCAGCAGGTGAGACAGAGTGGGCAGAAGCCCAAGAGCAGTGCAAAAGCGCTGATGATCACCAGACCCAAGGGCCTTGGTGAAAACATCAGCAGTGTTGGCCCGAGAGGCCACGTAGGAAAGGCGGAGCTGACGACGCTGCTGCAGCTCTCGAGAAAAAAAGTAGCGAAGAGCAATGTGCTTCGTTCTGTGCTCCAGTCTCTGCTCGCGACACAAGGCAAGCATGGCCTTGTTGTCGACGTACAGAACTGGAGGAGAACGAGGCCGCTCCCCCAAGTCGGTCAGCAGGTAGGTCAGACAGCGTAGCTCCTGTGCAGCCATAGCCCCAGCGTAGATCTCGGCCTCACAGCTGGAACCAAGCACAGAAGATGAACGAGTAGACCTCCACGAGACATAACCAGAGCCAAGACTGAAGGTGTAACCCTGTGACGACCGCTGAGTCGCCTGGTCATCGGCCCAGGAAGCGTCTGAGTGACCTGTGAGTACCACTGAGTCCCGTCCTCCAAGCACAAACCCCATGCCCGATGTACTGCACAAGTAACGCAGTACCCTCTTAGCAGCTTCCCAGTGCACCTTTCGGTGTCTATCGGGAGCCACGTAGCGAGCCAGGATGCTGAGAGGGTACGCGAGGTCGGGTCGTGTGCACGTCATCAGGTACATGAGGCAACCCACTAGCTCTGGATACGGACCACTCGGCTCTACGGACTCGTCCGAAGGTGGAGCTGAGAGCGAGTGGCCTATAGGCAGAGGAGTGGGCTGTGGCGAGGACCACGTGAAGCCGAAGCGCTGAAGGACCTGGTGCACCATGTGTGACTGCGTCAGGGTGATGGTGCGCCGTGCTCTGTCCCGGGTGATCTGCAAGCCAAGATAGCTCCGCAGCTCACCCAGGTCAGTGCAGGTGTGTCTCTCCTGCAACTCCGCCTTCACTAGGGCCAGTGCCTCAGTGTCAACAGTAACAAAAACCAAGTCGTCGACGTACACGAGGATGTAGAAGGGCGGCAGAGAAGGGTCGGTGCGCAGAAACAGCGACGGGTCAGCAGTCGAAGGAGCAAACCCAAGAGCCGCAAGTGTCGTCCTTAGTGTGTCGTGCCACTCGCGGGGTGCCTGACGCAGGCCGTACACTGGCCGTCGTAGGCTCCACTGAGTACCCTCAGGAAACGACCCAGTGAAGCCAGGTGGACGGCGCAGCCAGATGGCCTCGTGAAGGCTACCCTGCAAGAAAGCTGTCGAGAAGTCGAGGGAGTGCAGTTCGTAGTCACGCTGAGCTGCAACGTGTAGCAACACCCGATGGAGGTTTAGATTAGGTAAGGGGGTTCAACACGAATTGGAGGCTCGATGGAGGTTCAACGTGCTTCGTTCAGCACGAATTCAGCGGTGCGCTAAAGTTTTTTCGCAAAGAGGTGTTGGCGGCACTCACGAGGGCTTTTCACAATTTTGCAAGTCACTGGTTGGACAATAGTTTCGCGTGCCTCGATAGACAACGCGAAGTATCTTTCTTGACTCGTTGACCCTACGGTTCGCTCGTGGAAGGCCACACGTTTGACCTAAAGTTCAACAACATTCTGGTTCGTGGTAGAGTCCCTATAAAGAGAGGTACATTTGCACGCGTGCTTATCACATTCCTAGGGTTACCCGCTTCGGGGTCCAACACTTTGGACCCCGTTTGCATATGATGCACCAGCCCTTAGGGCATGTGGCATTTTTTAATAGTGGTAAAAGTCTAGACAGCCGTCCGAGAACGGTTCGGATACCAAATATTGGACGGTCCGAGTCCAACGTCTGGACTAAGCCTTGTCTGGACGTTGTTAATGAAACTTTTTTCAACTGACGAAATTGAAAACTTAGCGAGCTTGTAACCATGATACGACGTCATTGCGATATAGGTAACATCAATGCGACCTGGAGACTCCCACTCGTCGGCCTGTAAAATCGCGTCACTCTTACGTGCGTCCGTTTATCGAACGGTACTCGTCCGGTCGATTTGGGAGGGCAATTTACGCAAAAAGTCCCACCAGTGGTCCAAACGATAACGACGTGGCATGTGCTCTAACGAAGAAACCAACGAGGCCTAGCGAAAACAGTAACCACAAAAATGTCCGGATAGTGGTCCGTCCGAACGGACAAAAGTGGAAAATGTCACACGCCCTTACACTTGGCCCAGGCCTGTGCTGCCTTCGGGGAGGATTATAAAACCCTGTTACTAAATATATATCCTTAAACCTCAAAACCTTAAACCTGTCCCTCAGCCCCAACTTGATCAGGAGGTTCGCGAAATGCGGGATGAGCAAGCTAGCCTCGGCATGTTTGAAAAACCCGCCAAACCAGGCAGATTCCAGTTAGTCTAGGAGGCGTTCAGTATCTAATATTTCTTACATAACTAGATACACGTTCACAAAAGCGCCGAATTTGCGATGGCTGTCCCGGAAAAGGCTCATCATCTCCTTAGGCGTATCTTTTTTGTTTTAACCTCGTGGTAGTGGTTTCCTCGTCTGCATCATGGAGTTCGCACTTCGGTTTAGGGTTCCCGCTGCTCTTCTCAGTCATTGTCACCTTGACAACGCCAACGGCAGCATCGACGGCAGTGACATCACCACGAGCAGCACAGCGACTGACCGCGCCGCTGAATCTGCGAACGAAGGAACGAACCAACAGCCAGCAGCTTCACACGTGGACTATACCATTACCGTTGATCCGCACGAATTTCTCCAATCAGCATTTGACAAGCTGTTTCAGTCCCATCTGCCGCACTGCTGCCTGCCAGCTCAGAATACATGTCAACAGCAGGATGACGCGGATAAGGGCAGCAACAAGAGCGAAGAGAAACAGGTTGTTCGATTCATGGCTGTTGGGCAAGTGGTGTACTTATCACCTTCCGTATCCGCCGAAAAGGCCAGGCTTAAATCAGGTACGCTGATTAAAGTCCTGGCGGCGAGGACAAAATCGGCGACGGGGGAAAATGCAGGAAACACCAGAGACAGTACCAGCAACGTCGCAACTGACGCAGCGGTCGCTCCTGGGGCGGATGCCTTACACCCAGCATCCAAAGACCTATCGCCGACTTCTGTCGTGAACTCCCAACTCGATATTTTACCTTCCCCTGCTCCAGTCTCTGCTCCAGTCCCTGCTCCAAATCCCGTCCCGCTCTCTGCGCCTGCACCTGCCACCGCACCTTCTGCTCCCCCTGCTCCTGCCTCTGCCGTGGGCAATGACACAACAGTAGACAACCGCACTAATACCACAGCCACTACCACAGGCAGTAGCAGTGGCACCATTGGCACCAGTGGCAACGGCAGCGGACCCCGCAGCAGCAGCAGCAGCAGCAGCAGCAGGCAGATGGTACACGTGGAGCACGTGGCGCTGGGCCGGCCGCACATGGTGCACTACGTGGACGTGCACCTGCCGTGGTCGCACTCCCTCTGCGCCTGCTGCCTCCCCCGCATGCTCCGCCCCGCCCCGCCCATCACATTCCGCATCTCAAGCCTGGCCTCGCTGCGCAAGCACCTGCAGCAGCCCGTGGCGAAATCCATGCCGCCTTTCCGCCTCGCCAACAAACCCACGCCGCCCATCCTCGCCTACTCCGCCACCGTCCCGCTATCCGCCCCTCCGCGCCGTTTTCCACGGCGCCTCTGCTGGCGCAGCAGCGCCGTCGTTGGCGCAGCAGTATCGGTGGAAGGCGGACGCGGCGCCTGTGGTTGCAGCAGAGGCCATGATGCTCGAATGGCTGGCAGAGCCACGTGTCGGCCTGCTACTGGACCTCCAGGAGGTACGGCGCCGGCTGGCAGAGATATTGCACATCAACGAATTCGCGGCGGCGCGCAGAGAAGCTAGAGCCGCGCGGGGGGGCTCTACTGCTGCTGCTGCGCCGTACCGTCGCGCCCTGTGGTGGTGCTGCTGGCAGTGCAGCCGGTGCTGGACGCTCTACCGCATGGCCGTGTCCATTGCTGCTTTCCTCGTGCTTGTTGCCAAGTTCCCGCGCTTCGTCACTCTCTGGCGCGCGCACCTGTGCTCCCCTGCGATGGCCTTTTCCATGATGGCGTTTCAGTTCGGAGCGGGGCAGCAGGCGCAGGGCGACTGCGTGGCGTCGCTGCTGCTGCAGGTGCTGGGAGTGAAGGGCAAGCAGCAGCTGGAGACTGGCTTTGCTGCCCACATGCTGCCGCTGCTGCCGGGGGGGAGGGACGCGCATAGGGAGGCGGGAGGGGGAGGAGCGAGCTCGGGGAGGGAGGGAAGAGAGGGGAAGGAGTGGAGGGAGGGGTTGGGAGGGGTTGAGTGGGAGGAGTATGTGCGCCGCGTGGTGGAGATTGCCGCCCAGGGAGGGCTGGCAGGCGAGCAGTACCGCTGCTGCTGCTCGCAGTGCTGCAAGGGCGAGAGCACAGAGGGAAGAGCGAATGAAGGGGCCTTGGGAGCCCAACGCGGCAGCAGCGGTGGCATGGTGATATCTGGTGCGGACCCCACCGACTTCGCCCTCAAGTGCGCCACTCTCTTCTGCCAGCCGCTGTTCGCCGTGAGTGCTTCTCTCATCTTCTCTGACTGTGCTGCCGGCCGCCACAAGGAGCGGGTAGAGGACGCTGCTGTGGAGGAGGCAAGGAACCGGCTGGCTGCGGAGAAGGGGAGTGTGGAGGGAAGTGGAGTGCAGGATAGAGGGAAGCGAACAGTGGATTCAGACGCACCAGCATCAGCTCCTGCTGCTCCTGCTGGTGCTGGGTCTGGTGCTGCAGCCAGTGGGTCTGGTGCTGCAAGCGGCGCCGGCCTTGTCCCGGTGAACAGTAACGCGGTCGTGGCACTATTCACTTACCGGGTCACCTGCCTGCTGCGATGGGTGCGGCTGTACGGGTTCAAGGTCAACCCCTCAGACGCCTGCACCCAGCACGACATGAAAAATCCAGGCCCTTCTCTTCCCCACCCAATCCACGACCTCCCGAACCTGATGCTCAGGTTCGGTGCCATGTGAAAGCCTGTGCCAGGCCTAGAAGGCTCGGCACGACAGGCTGGAAGGAGTTCCCGGAGGGGGACAGGGCGGCAGTGGCGGCGAATTTGGAAGATCCTGGGGAGTTTATTGGACTCAAGACTTTCCAGGTGGGGGCATTTCATGGCGGTGAGTTGGACAGGGAGGAGATGAAGAAGGAGTACAACGTGAGGGAGCTCAACATGCCCCACCCAGGCCCCTCCTTCGGTGCCTCCCCCAATTTCATAGGCACTCTGCGCAACAACTCGAGCGGCCCCTTCTTCCCCACACTGGGCCACCGCGTGGAGGAGTTTTTGAGAAGGTTCGCCCCTGCAAGGCTGGCAAGGGAGGGCAGGAACGGTCCTCTGGCCCGGGCTATCACCTCCTGGGCTAGCTGCATGGACCTGGAGGAGCGAACCTGGACTGCTCTGGCTCTGGGGCCGTTCGCAGAGGGCAAGATCAAGCCCATCCTACGGTCCAGAATCCAGGTGGAGATTTTCATAGAGATGATTGCAGGCATCATTTACCCTGCGCCGGCCTGCAACCGCTGCCGGTATTGCGTCAGCAGGTACCAGCATGCAGTCTCTCTCTCCTCACTTGCCGCAACCTTCGCCTACCGCCCCTCGTCCGCGCTGCTGCGCTGCATCCTCTCGCTCTTCCCGCCCAGTTCGGTGCGCTTCAGAAGCTTCCTGGAGTCTCTGCACGTGGCGCCCATCCCTGCGGTGGTCCCGGACTCGCTTCTGGCACCGCTGCTGGAAGGCTTGATGGAGGAGCTTCGGCTGAAGTTTCTGTTTTGTGGCACTAGGCTCATTGCGGAGGAGAGCGAGATAATGAGCATTCTCGAGCCTGTCGAGCAGGACGAAGTAGGGCAGGAGCGGCAGGGAATGTGGGAGGGGGTCGAGGAGTGGAGGATGTGGGAGGAAGTGGACAGCTGGCGGCGGGCGGCTGTTATGGCGTGGCCTGCTGTGGAGGGACTTGGTGAGGCGGAGGTGGCTGATGGTGAGGGGGATGGGTTGGAGGAGTGCTGTGCGGCCATGAAGCGTGCGCTACAGGAGGAGAAGGTTGTAGCGGAGGCACGCAGGCAAGCGGTGATTGACTCTGTCATTGCCGCTGGTGGTGCTAGGGGTGGAGATGCGTATGGGGGAGGGGAAGGCCCAGGAGGGGGAGAGAGTGGGGAGGGGCGAAAGCGGAATGCAGGGGCGTGGTACCTGGAGCCGTGGCCGGGGGGGGTGAATCCTCTGGCGTGTTTGAGGGAGATGCTGCTGGGGGAGACCAGCTACTGCCTCCAGGCTCAGGTGGATGCTGCTGCCGCTGATGCTGCTACTGCTGCTGCCCCTGGTGAGGGGCACAGTGGCAAGGGAGAGCGGCGTGGGTGTGCGTGGGCACAGTGTGGCGGGGTGGAAGGGGCGGGGTTGCAGCTCAAGCTATGTTCGCGGTGCGGCAAGGCTGCCTACTGCAGCAGGGAGTGCCAGAAGGCCCACTGGCCGTCGCACAAGCTCACATGCCAGCCCAAGGCCAAGAAAGGGGAAGAGTCTTCATAGATGGGATAATGTGGAGATGACTTCTGAGTTGACTCAAAGTTCAGCTTGTTAAGATGTCGCGTCTTTTCTACAAGAAGAAAAATCATTGCATGGAGGTTACCTAAACGAGCAGGTTACGATGTTACATGTTACAGAAGTTCATTTGAACAAGAATCAAATATACTAAACAAGCTACCTATTCGAAACACACACCCCGTACATGCCATGCACATCAGCACGCTGGATGCGGCCTTCATCATCCAACACCTTCTCACACCCTGACACATCCACGGAATGAAGCATCTTCAGCTGTGTCACATCTTCAGGAAGGGCTTCTAGTTGCCTACAGCCACTCAAGTCAAGCTTCTTGAGCCTTGTCAGCTGTGCAAAGCCGGGAGGGAGGGAGCAGATTGAGGTGCTGCTGAAGTTCAGATTATGAAGGCACGAAAGCTGGGTGAGAGAAGCAGGGACGTGAGCGAGAGCTGAGCACTTGGAGAGGTATAGCTTGCGAAGTCTGGATAAGGCACCGATATGGTCAGGAAGGCTCGAGAGCTTGGGAGCATGGATCTCAATACATGTCAGCGAGCGAAGCTCAGTGACAGACGCTGGCAGCTGTGTCAGCTCTTCAGCCCGCCGTATGTGGAGCTGTCTTAGCTGCTGAACAGTCGAGCCCATGTCATTTGGAAGTGCTGGCATGCGACCAGCGCTTTGAATCGTCAACATGCGAAGGTTGGGACAGAATGCGAGGGACAGCGGCAGCTCCTCTGCCTCCCCTGCCAGAAGCAGGTCCAGATCCTCTAAGGAGGGTAGTAGAGTCACACACGCGGCAGCGTCCCTGTCTAGCCCGAGAATAAGGCCAACGCATATCAAGGTCAACTTCTTGAGCCTGGGCAGAGGACGAATCTGTAGGTGAGGAGTGAGCCGCTGGTGGCTCCCCAGGCTGAGGACCTCGAGGGAACGTGGGAGGGATCGGGTCACCTCCATGAGCTGCGGGAACTTGCCAAACGTCAGCTCTCTCAGCCGCCCAAGGGAATTCAAATCACTGGGAATGGAGTGGAGGCTGCTGCAGTGATTGATCTTCAGAATCTCTAGCCTTTCAAGGTCGGTAACAAACTCAGGTATTTCCCGGATCGAAGGGCAGTAGTGGATGCACAGCTCCCGCAGGTTCCTCAGCTTCCCGATCCCCGCGGGAAGCTCAGATATTTCGCATTGGCTGAGAGCAAGGCTTGTCAGCGAGGACAGCTCCCCTATGGCCTCTGGGAGCTCCGCGATGCGGCACAGGCACAGGCTCAGGCTGGTCAGTGAAGCCAGCCGCGTCAATGATGGTGGAAGGCGCTGCTGGGCGCCATTCTCGCTCAGGTCGAACGCGCGGAGGTTGGCCAGCCGTCCGATGTCCTCTGGGAGCACTAGCAGCGGGCAGTTGGCGATACAAAGGGACCTGAGAGCCGTCAGATTTGCGAACCTTGGAGGCAGCTCTCGGAGCTCCTTGCAGTAGACGAGATTTAGAGTTTCCAGGGATGTGAGCTGGGAGAAGGAAGCGGAGAGATCCGTGAGGTGCAGCTGGTACAGCGACCATGACGTGAGCGCGGGCAGCTCGCCGAAGTTTTCGGGCAGCCTGACAATGTTGCAGAGGGCGATTGACAAAGTCTCTAAGCAGCTGAGGGAGGCGAACCCGTGAGACAAGTCATTCAGGTTTTCGTTCTCTGATGCTCAGCTCCCGTAGGCAAGGCAGCAGATCTCCAATCTCGTCCAGAAATGTCCCGAGCCCATGGCACTCGCGGAGACGCAGTCGCTCGAGACGGCTGCACGACGAATCTTGCGGAAACATAAGGTCGAGTCGCGGGCTGACGGAATCGAACTCCAGCGACTTGAGAGCCCGCAGCTGCGCGAACGAGAAGTCGTCAGAGCCCTGCTCCCGCTCCGGTAAGAACAGCCGCGTTTCGTTGCAGCAGGAGAGGCTGATGAGCGCCGTGAGATGCGAGAGGCTCCAAGGGAACGGATCGTCCAGAGGGTTGGTGTCGAGGGACAGAGCAGTGAGCGACGCGAGACGCGAGAATTCCGAAGCCTCGAGGGCGGAGCCGTCGGTAAGAGCCAGGGAGTGCAGGTGCGTGAGATGATAGAACGCATCGGGTAACTTGACGGCTCTATGCGCGCAGTAGAGCGAGAGGTGCCGCAGCTGCGTGACGCCACGCAGGAAATGATTCAAACCAGATTGGGTCACCGGATGGTCCTCCTCCCTCTCCCAGTCCATGGGTGTGATTTCATTCCCCACATGCAGCGCCTTCAGCTTCGGACACGACGACGCGATATGAGCGAGAAGCGCGTCGTCGACGGTCTCGATGCTGCCGTCCGAGAGATGCAGGCGGGTGAGGTTCGGGAAGCAACGGATGGCATTCTTCAGATCCCGGCGCGAAACAACGCGGTTCTCCTTCACCAGGAGCGTCGAGACGTGGCGCCGCGCGAGGAGGCGCCACCGGCGGCAGACGGATGCGACGAGTAGACTAAACGCGGCGTCTGCGGAGGCAGGGGGAGGCGCTAATGGATTGTCGGTCTGATGCTGACGCGACTCGTCACCGTACGGCTGTTGGGAGGTGTACGTGGGCCGTGGCTCCACGGCGGCCCATACTGTGCTGCTTGATGATTTACGTTAAGCGGGCGGCTGAGAGTGAAATAGAATCTTAACGAGGAGGTCGTCTGACAGAGCGTTAATGTTGTAGGAATGCATCGTAGACAACTGAACGCAGTGTCAAAGAGAACCGTGCGTTTCTGTGCTGAACCTTCCAAAGTCTTCTACTCCTGCACACTTGCTGTACCGAAATCAAGAGGTTCTTGTGATGCGTATCTCCTAGTTTACTCTTTGCTGGAGCTTTGTTCTTGTTAGGGTTGGTTCGCCCAACCACGGAACCTACGGCGGAAGGTTCTACGACGGCTAAATGGAAGCGCGTGGGAGATTCTAGATCTAAGACGGTGGAAATCGGCCTACGGTGACGAATGGAAGCTACGACGTGAGAAGCGGGAGAGATCGAGAAGAAACTAGAGAAATGGAGGAAGAAGAGTGGACAAGTATCGAGAAGGGAGTTGACGAGGGGAAATTGAGGTTCGAGACCAAGGCGCATTCGAGAAAGTTCCAGATTCGGACTTGAGGAGTGTTCACCGAATTCAGTTCGGTTCCGTGTGCGACTCGGGGTGAAACGAGGCGCACGGGGTTACTTGGGAAACAAGTGAAGTTACGAATCGCATTTTGTGACTTGCTTGACTATAAAACTGCTTGTACTCATTCTGGAAAACATAACTTGGAGATTCTGAAAATTGCTGAAGTGTGTATTGACAACTTCAAGCAGAGCTGCGCATATCGTTGGATTTGGGAGATCGTGGAGAACACGATAAGCAATAGCAAGTAGACTATTGCCGACTAAGGTGTTTACGATCCTAAGAACTGGTATCAGAGCTTGGCGAACGGTCGCGTCGGACGTCGTAAATTCACTTGGTGCGCTAAGTGAAATTAGTGGAGAAGAGGAGTCGTTCACGCCTACGCCATGGGAGACGAGGCGAGTTCGGGTTCCAGTGTGAGTCTTGGAGACCCGCAGTTGAAGGCTCTTCTCGAGGCCCTTGCGAGTGGCCGATTGGTGGCGAAACCGACGATCGGGCTCAGTGAAGCCCAGCGCTTCAACGGGAGCAACTACAACGTGTGGCGAAAGAAGTTCATTCGAAGGGCAGAGGAGGTGGACCTCTTGCCGTACTACCGTCCCGACGAGGAAACGATGGAGGGAGTTGCGCCATCCCTGACGGATACGAAGGAGAAAATAGCGGCGTTTAAAAAGCTAAGTAAGCAAGCGTTCTTTCAGCTTTGTCACTCAGTTGCCGACGGAATCGCGGTGGATTTGGACCAGTTTGCAGGGGAGCTGAACTCTGCACAGCGAGCGTGGGAGTACCTGGAGTCCACGTACATGGGTACGAACGATGTCAACAAGAAGGCGATTAGAAAGCAACTGCTGATGCTGAGCATGGAGAAAGGCGAGAAAATCATCACCTACATCAACAGGGCGAAAAGCTACAACGACGATTTGCGGGTGATGGGAGCCGCGGAGACGGAGCAGGAGATGATTGACTATATCATCCAAGGCCTTCCTAAGGAATGGGAATCCGACATTGGAATGTTTACGTACCAACCGCCGGAGAGTTTGACGAAGCTGCAGGAGATCCTGCAATCGCTTGAGACGGTGAAGGAGATGAGGAAAAAGAAAGCGGCAGTAGCAGCTACGGAATTCGACGAGGAAAGGCCGGCTATGGTGAATGCGACAAAGGCGTTTGGAGCGTGCTACCAGTGTGGAAAGAGGGGGCATAAGGCGATAAACTGCTACGAAAATCCGCGAAGCAGAAACTACAAGGGCAAAGCGGTGGAGAACGAGAAAGGAGAAAATGGGGGAGCAGAGTGGCAACAGAAACGAGGTTTTGGCGGCAAGTGTGATTATTGTGGGCGCTACGGACATCGTGCCGCAGAGTGCTACTCCAATCCGAACAGCAGGAGCTACAAGGGTCCGTCGCAGCAGAGGATTGTGGCGGGTAAGGCGAATGTAGCGGAAGCCGAAAAGGAGGATGTGATTTTGGGAGGAGCGCATCTTGCGAACGTGGTGCGTTTACCGAAGGATGTTCGTCAGACGGACGGACGTAAGAAGACGGCATGGTTCATGGACAGCGGATGCACGCGTCACATGACATTCAGGTCAGATTGGATGGAGAATGTGAGGGAGTCGAGTGAGCGTTATATACTGCAAGGTAACAGTGGGAAGTTACCAGTGACAGGAGAGGGTGACGTGGTGCTGCAGAGTCCGTATGGAGAGGTGAAACTGGAGAGTGTGCTGCTGGTTGAGGATTTAAAGGTGAATTTGGTCAGTCAGTCACAGCTTGATGACTTGGGGTGCAAGATATTTTATGACAGTGGAAAGGTTACAATGTTTGGCCCAGAGTGGGAGAAGTACGCAGAGGGTTACTTCAGTGACAGATTTTATGAGATGAACGTGATAGCGACGAATGATATGGATGAGATCTATGAGGATCCTGAGTATGGTGAGATGGGAGAATTCGAGGAGTTATCGGTTGAGGATGATGAGAGTGAGGAGACGGATGATACGGCAGCAAGTGTGGAGGCAGCAGTGAAGCAGAAAGAGGAGATAGTCGCCATGGAGGCAGCAGCAGTGAATGGTGGAGATGGAGTTGGTGTCAACACTTTTGCAGCAGCGATCGTGGTTGAAGATGAAGCAGTAAATGCGAAGTATATGGGAGTTGAAGCTGTGAAAGGGGACAACCTGGTGAAGGGATCAAATGTGAAAGCAACTGCAAAGGGGCGAGTGCTTACGAAGGAGGAACACGTTGAAGGGTACAAGACCCGAGAAATGTTGGGTGTTGAGATGCCGAGGAGAAGCGAGAGGCTTAAGGATATCTATCAAGGTTTGGACGTCAAGGCGCTCAACTTCACGACACGTAAGCAGAGGTTCAAGGTGCAGGAGCTGCAGGGGAGCGTGAAGCAGACTTAGACCCTGTGAAGGCTACCAGGAGCAGGGGAGGAGTGCGGGTGGAGTTCGAGGTTGACGAACCACAGGGGAGGTTGTTAGGGTTGGTTCGCCCAACCACGGAACCTACGGCGGAAGGTTCTACGACGGCTAAATGGAAGCGCGTGGGAGATTCTAGATCTAAGACGGTGGAAATCGGCCTACGGTGACGAATGGAAGCTACGACGTGAGAAGCGGGAGAGATCGAGAAGAAACTAGAGAAATGGAGGAAGAAGAGTGGAGAAGTATCGAGAAGGGAGTTGACGAGGGGAAATTGAGGTTCGAGACCAAGGCGCATTCGAGAAAGTTCCAGATTCGGACTTGAGGAGTGTTCACCGAATTCAGTTCGGTTCCGTGTGCGACTCGGGGTGAAACGAGGCGCACGGGGTTACTTGGGAAACAAGTGAAGTTACGAATCGCATTTTGTGACTTGCTTGACTATAAAACTGCTTGTACTCATTCTGGAAAACATAACTTGGAGATTCTGAAAATTGCTGAAGTGTGTATTGACAACTTCAAGCAGAGCTGCGCATATCGTTGGATTTGGGAGATCGTGGAGAACACTTGCTGTACCGAAATCAAGAGGTTCTTGTGATGCGTATCTCCTAGTTTACTCTTTGCTGGAGCTTTGTTCTCTTTGTGGTCTCTACTGACCAGGAATATCGTGGCCTGCTTGGCTATGCCGTAGGACCCACTTTGGAATTGTGGGAAACGGCTCAATATTGGCTTCGAAGGTTGGGCTGTGGTGGGTGCTGCGATATTTTTTCGCAACCTGTGAGAGAATTACTGTAGAACCATGTTCGGTGATTCGTCCTTACTCGCGTGGCTTCGAATTAGGGTACATTCCTACCTCGTGTCAGACACGAAGTGGAGGTTTGGATGGAGGTTCGGAAGACCCGAAGTGGCCCACTTCGGGTCTTCTGAACATTGATTTGCCAGAGTTCCATGTCACTTCGGGTCTTCCTCAACTTCACTTCGTGTCTGACCTCATGTCAGACACGAGCCAAGAATGTACCCTTACTCGAGTGGCCACCAAATTTGGTGATAATTACTCGAGTGGCCACGCCAGGGGATTTCTGCTGGCTTTTTTTTTTCCCGGCGCATTACCCTACGGGGCTTTGTAGCCCCGAAATGCACCGTTCGCACGAGTATCATCCCGCAATAGTGTTTCTTACTATTCCCCACCCGAAAATTTCGCCAGGGTGGCGGGCGCGAACGTGGCCCGCTCACTGTAGAAGAAACCGACAAATAAGCCGACCAACAGTAAATGCGCGTTCAATTTCGGGCAAGTGCGCGACCAATGAGCGGCATGTCAAACAAATCCGCAACCAATAATCGATCGTGAATATATAGCCCCGATCGTATACTTCTCTTGACCCGCATCTAACCGCCACAGCAATAACGACCGCGCATGATTGGTCAATAATATGCGCGGTGCAGTTGTAGGCAATGACCGTCCAATCAAGCGCCTAATTGGATTCCCAATCGTATATTGAAATTCACGGCCGTCAACGCGAGGGAAATTAAATGACCGCGCGTGATTGGTCAGTTTTATTCGTATGATGCGTGTCCAATCATATACGGTCTTACAAAGTCGCAATCAATAATTGTATAAGACTGTGCAATAACCTATATGAGCGCGCATATCTGTTGATTAAGTGTGGGTGCTTACGGTGGATATAAAACCTGTTTATAAATTCCATAGAAATATTCTCTTGATGTCCTTTTGGTTCGTCATAGCTACTGTCCTCAGTAATGTGTTGCCGTTATTGTTAAATAACTAGCGAGAGTTTGGCTTAGGAGCCATAGTAGCTTAGGTGACTTGGTGAAGTTCGAGGGTGTAGGGTGTAAGGAAAATGTCGAGAGAATTGTGGAAGGAGAATTGTGAAACTAGAAAGGAGGGGGATACAAGTAGTAAGCCCTAAAAGGGTTATACTCACTTTTGAGTACCCCACTACAGACTAGACATGCATTATAATCTGACACACCCCCATAGTCAAAGTGGGGTATAATCAGTACAGCATGCAGGCATAGAGCTAGAGTTCACAATAGGTAAGTAAGGCTAGAGCTAATCACAGAGGGCAAGTGAGGAGGAGGAGAGACTGTGGGGGAGAGAAGATGGGAGGCGACTGCTGACGCTGCAGACACACAGACGAGCTGCTGGCTCAGTGGCTACCGAAGCAAAGGCCCGGACTACAGGAGTAACTGGCTCTGCGGCTAAAAGTAGCGGCAGACGAGCAACTGACCCACAGGCGACTGGCGACTACCGGAGATTGTAGCCTCCGGACTGCTGGTGCTGCTGACGACAAGACTGCTGCCTCCACTTAACCTCCCCCAGCTGCCCAACGCCCCTCTCACACACCCCCTGCTCAAACCCTAGCCCTACACCCACAGCACCCCCTTAAACCCTAAACCCGAGACTCCCACACAACCACCCCCCTCAGCGATAGCTGCAGCAGTGGGAGACGAAGGAGGAGGAGGAGGAGGGGACGGCACGCACAACCGACACCCCCACAACCATCACCCCCACACCCACCCCCCCACGGCTGCACCGGGTCCAAGAGCGGCTGCTGCAGGGGCCAGGGGCGGCTGCTGCTGGGGCGGCTGCTCCAGGGGCTGCTGCTGCTGGGGCGGCTGCTCCAGGGGCTGCTGCTGCTGGGGCGGCTGCTCCAGGGGCTGCTGCTGCTGGGGCGGCTGCTCCAGGGGCTGCTGCTGCTGGGGCTGCTCCTGCTGGGGCGGCTGCTGCTGGGGCGGCTGCTCCAGGGGCTGCTGCTGCTGGGGCGGCTGCTCCAGGGGCTGCTGCTGTTGGGGCGGCTGCTCCAGGGGCTGCTGCTGCTGGGGCGGCTGCTCCAGGGGCTGCTGCTGCTGGGGTGGCTGCTCCAGGGGCTGCTGCTGCTGGGGCGGCTGCTGCTGGGGCGGCTGCTCCAGGGGCTGCTGCTGCTGGGGCGGCTGCTCCAGGGGCTGCTGCTGCTGGGGCGGCTGCTCCAGGGGCTGCTGCAGCTGGGGCGGCTGCTCCAGGGGCTGCTGCTGCTGGGGCTGCTCCTGCTGGGGCGGCTGCTGCTGGGGCGGCTGCTCCAGGGGCTGCTGCTGCTGGGGCGGCTGCTCCAGGGGCTGCTGCTGTTGGGGCGGCTGCTCCAGGTGCTGCTGCTGCTGGGGCGGCTGCTCCAGGGGCTGCTGCTGCAGCGGAAATTAGGAGGGAGGGGAGGGGAAGGGCGCGGCCCCCAGGGTGCCCTGACGGGCGACGTGCTAGGGAGCCGTGCAGGCCCCTGAAAGTGCCTCGACGGGCGACGGGAGGGGACCGCGCGCAGGCCCCTAAGGCGCCGTGACGAGGCAACGGGAGGGGCCGGCTCGCGGGCCCCGAAAGTGCCGCGACAAGGCGACGGGAGGGGCCTGCGTGCGGGCCCCCAAAAACGCCGCGACGAGGCGACGGTCGGGGCCAGTGCGCGGGCCCCCAAGACGCCGCTACGAGGTAGGAACCCGCCGCGCGCCTCGGGGCGCACGGCGGGCAGAAAACCGCCACGCGTTCCGAGCGCGTGGCGGGAAGAAAAAAAAGAGAATGTCGCGCGCCACGGGGCGCGCGACACACAGTAGGGCAGCGGAAGCAAGTGGGCCCACAGGCCAGGAGCTTTAAGCTCTGATAGCATGTTAAGGGCGCACGACGGGCCACGGGGCGCACGACGGGCAGGTTTAGGGCACCGTCGTGTGCCACGGGGCGCACGACGGGCAGGGCACCGTCGCGTGCCACGGGGCGCACGACGGGCAGGGCACCGTCGCGTGCCACGGGGCGCGCGACGGGCAGAAAAGATGTCACTCGCCACCTGGGGGCGGGACAGGACGAAAATCGCCACGCGCCCGAGGCGCGCGACCGGAAAAACAGCAGCGGAAGCGTGAGGCGGGCCCACAGGCCAGGACGTAACTCGCTCTAATGCCATGTTAAATAACTAGCGAGAGTTTGGCTTAGGAGCCATAGTAGCTTAGGTGACTTGGTGAAGTTCGAGGGTGTAGGGTGTAAGGAAAATGTCGAGAGAATTGTGGAAGGAGAATTGTGAAACTAGAAAGGAGGGGGATACAAGTAGTAAGCCCTAAAAGGGTTATACTCACTTTTGAGTACCCCACTACAGACTAGACATGCATTATAATCTGACAGTTATCTCTATACAACACGCAGAGTACCTTTCATTGTATTTGTCAGAGGTTTATAACGCTAAGCCTCTCTATCTATTGGCATGTCAAGATCTACACATGTCTACAATGGTTTAACAAGGAGGATTGTATGCTTGAGGATCACACAAATGCATGTTCACCAAATGTCATAGCATTTACTGTGTTGCTTGACCAAGAAAGGCATTGATTATGTCGTCCGCCGGCCCTGCACACGGTCAGGAAACAAATTCAAAAATTTAATGCAAGTTAAGGAATTTGACGGGCTATGGATACGCACTACTATGACACATCAACACATCTCACCTGCTGTTGGCTCGCTTGCCAGTGCGGAGCCGTGAGATGGGGGGTTGGGATTGTTTGGTGCAGCCGTCAAGCTCATGCTGTGCTGGGAATCTGTCATGCCAGCTACCCTGGCCTGAGCAGTTTGCTCAGAGGGCGGAACTTGTTGGCCTTGTGGGTCAGCTCCTGGATGTGCCGTGCTGGGTACAACGGCTGGTGGTGAGGGTAGGACATGCGGATGGGGTGCTGTGTTCTGTGCTGCTGCATGGCCTGCAGGGTTGGGAGCAATGGGTACTGAACGGGCTGGGTGTACAGAGATAGGTGCTTGCACCTGGCTGAATGGATGGATTGGGATTTGGTTGAATGCATATGGCTGGGATGGATAATGGAGGTTGGGAGGAGGGTGGCTCTGGGTGAACGGCTGCCATCCACCTTGGTTTTGGGTTGCACCGGCGTGTCCCGCGAAGGCGGCAGCTGGCTGATGGTAGCCAAACGTGGCTCCAGGGTGCTGGTGGAAAAAGGGAGGTGGAGCCTGTGTGTGAACCCCTGCTGCCGCTAGGGTGGAAGGCTCAGGGAAGCTGCTGAGCACTACACGCCAGTTCCTCCACTCCGGCCACCTCTTTGCCTCCACAATCCTCTCAACCCCTTTTGACGTCAGACCCTCCAAGCACCTCCTATCCTCCTCGCTCAACTCCACCATCTTTGAGCAGGAGAGGGACGGTCGGCAGATGTGAGCCGCTGCTGCATAGGCTGTTGCGGCATCCAAGGTCTCGGTGTACCGTCCCAGCGCTAAAAACTTGCCTCTATGACCATCTACGCACAGTTTCGCCGCCCACTTACCTTCCCGTTTGCTTACACCTGTATAGCCTGGGCTAGGAACTCTACCACGCGCAGTGTTGCGACTCGTAGTCTCTGTCCCTGCACTGTATGCAGACACCAAATCCACATCGGCGTTCGAGGCTGTCAAACCATGCCCAGAACCCACGGCCTCTCAAGCACCTCTGTTACCAACCGTAGTACCCAACAAGCCTCCGGCACCCTCATCACGCACCCCCCCTTTCGCATTGTTACTCCACGGGCCGTCATCCATATCACCCTCCCCAACGCCGTCACGCATACTGTCTTTCACACCAACACCCGTATCAACGGCAGCCACAGGCCCCTCTCCATGTGCACCTCTCACGCTGTCATGTGTGCCAGCATTGTCCCCACCCATGACTTCCATAGGTGCAGGTTCACCAGTTCCACCGTCCCCTGCCACATCACCATGTCCCTCCCCTGCAGCCTCACCGTCAACGCCATGCTGCGGAGTACGGGAAAGCATCAGCTCACGCAATTGCCTCTCGAGCTTGGCAATAGCCACTGCCTGACCCTCATTGCGAACCTCCAGCCTATGCATCCGTTCTGCCATCTCCGCTCTCCACTCCATATCCTCCACCTCATCACCAATCACCTCAGCCTCAGGTGGTTTCCTTATCTCATTGCCAGAAGGGATCTCATGCCCAGCTGCCGTGAGCTCGCCGATCAGCCGCCCTTCTGCAAGAGCGCATACATCCTCCCGTAACCCACGTCGGTACGCCAACGGGCTCATGCTGAACCACACCCCTTCCTCAGCACCTTCGAAACACGCCTCCACAAGCGCATGAATGTACTGGCAGACGAAGATGCCGCAGTCAACATGGTTCTGCTGCAAAGGCATCTGCCACGCCTGCAATACAGGGAAGCCACAATACACCTTCAACAATTGGTAAATGAAGCATGCAGAATGTACAATGTCAACACGTGGACCGTGCAGAGTACAACACTCCGCACAGGAACTCACCATGCACATAATGATGGCTGCACACCGCACATGGGCACCATACACCCGAGAGCACGATGAACAGGGCAGTGCATTGTGTGTTTGGCAGCATCGTGCATAATGGTGCACCATGCGCATGGTTGCTGCAGGGTTACATGGGTTGCACATGCATAACTATAGGTTGTTGGATGTCAGACGAGCGTACTACTAGTCAACACACCTCCATGACGTGTGGCTGGAATCTTCCGAGCCTCGCTTTCATCTCTTCTATTGATCGGTTTCCATGCTCCTTCTCGAAGGCCATGCCGAGCAAGCTGTGACGGGGCCGCGTTTGGGAAGGGAAGAGACCGAGTGGAACTTTGGATACGCACATACAAAAACATGCACTGTCATTTTCGCGTGCTTGTAAGGGAAGTTGTGTTCGCAACCTCTAGCGAAAACTTACTTGGTCATGTTCTTGAATGCACTGCCCCCCACAGCATGCATCCCAAGGGAGTCGTACAGCAGCAACCACGCAGGCTGGGTGGCGGTGTCCTCGTGGAGCGGGAGAGTCATTACTCCTGGATTGACCACAATCATCACGCTGAAATGAAACCTGCATCGTCACCACATTGCACAAGTAATGTCACGGTCAGGCAACACAACAGCCAGAGCCATATGCTTAAAACCTTGACTAGAAACGGGATCATGGCACTTACCCGCCGTAGATTGGCATGGCCAGATAGTCGTAGCTGAAGATAGACGGTCTGTTGTCTCCACTGGCGATCTTGCCCCGAGAGCAGAAGTAGTCATAACTTTGACTGTCCAACGCGAGCCACGTCTTGCTGTTGCTCAACTTTGGCCGGCGGATGTTGAGCACTCTGCGGTGAAAGAGGGAGTACATGTAGCACAACGGTGAGAGAATCGTAAGTGTGATAATCAACACACAAGGGTAGAGCACGGGATTCTACATGTCAGTGGTATGGCACTTACATATTATGGAAATCGATGAGAGGCTGCGTGATCGGCTGATCATCTGTGATGTGCAGAGCGTCGGCAATCGTGATAACGGCCGTCATGCCGTGATGGTCGCGAATCGCATTCGTGGGGAAAAAGGGATGCTTAAACTTCCCCGCAGTAGCTCTAGATTTGTCCACTGTATTCAGGACCGGGATCTTAGTATCTCCGGTAATTTTCGCGATGAGGTCGTCCGGTTCTACCAACGACGTCTCAAACTCCGGCTCCACGCCATAGTCGTGAGGGGCTACTTTTTTCAAAACCACCGGATCAGACGTCGTGGCGCACTGCTCCTTGTTGGTCGTCGCATTTGCTTGGCCCAATCTCAGCCTATCACTACGACGAAGACCGTCTTCCTCCCCCGATTCCACGTCGGGCGTTGACGTGCCATCACGTCTCCGTTGACGTTTCCCTCTACCACGAACTGCTCGATCTGACATTATCCAAGGCCTACTCGCGCGCCGGCCGCTCTAGTTTAGGGGAAATACGCAGTTAGTTATAGCGCGGGGTGCTAAAGGCCTAAAACGGTACAAGTTTAGGATGCACTCTAAGAGCTAGCTAACCCTAACTTTGAGTTATGGCTGACATATCGAGAGGATATGTCTGGCACATGACGTGGTTTAAATGTTGCTTGTGTTTGGGTTCACCTTCTATCGCACGCGCGATTACACGGTTACCGCTTTCCGTTTGCAATCCTTCAATGTTACGAGTGCATTTTTTTAATTTCGCGCATTGTAATCAGAAGCGAATGGTTAGGGTTGCGACTAAACCGCAAATGTTCTTAGTTGAAATGCGCATGATGTAAGCTGTCAACTGGGCAAGAGGGGATATCGCCCATACGCAAATGACGCAGATATGCGCGAACCAATTAAACGTCTGAAACATATGACCGATCAAATTTCAAAAACCTGTCATATATGCACGAGTGCATATGAATCGCTCATATGCACCGACCAATAAAATTCAACAGGAATTGACCGGTCTTATCCCCGCGCAATCTGACCGGTCAAATTCCCGTGCAATATGCACGGATGCATATGTTTCACTCATACGCACCGATCAATCCAATGCACGACGGAATTGACCGGTCATATCCCCGCAAAATTGGACCAGGGATATGCGCGTTTGTTATGACCGCCCAATTGTCGAGGTACGCGATTTTGTAATTTGCGCAATATGGCCGGCAGACTCAATGTGGAATATTATTTTGACAACTGCGTAATAAGGCAGTCTCTAATGGCCAGGAAAATACTGTCCATGATACAATCTGAACCGTCTTATAGGATCGTCTCAGGTTGATCGCACGGAGTGTAGCAGCGGAAGATTGCTTGGTAATGTCGGGTACGGACTCTGTCAGCAGAAGGAGATTTGAATCTCGACAGAAGTGAATAACACAATGCGGTACAAGGGTTTATATAGGAATACAGTGGAATACGGAAATTCCTAGCTAGCCATATACTATAAGGGGGTACATTCCCCTTAGGGCTAATCTAGATGCACGATTGAAACCGTGCGGCTCGGTAACCGTATGCGGTCTGGTAACCGTTTGAAGTTTTCGCGCGTTTTGCACTTCGAATGCCTGTAACTGTCTTGTCGCTCGGTCTTCGTCCTCGCTGCAGTCATCTTCGGGTTAAGGATTCGTTACTCAGGAATGTTTATTCAACAATTCCATATCGTAACAGGCCATGTATCTCGGGTGGCCCTCACAAAAAACCGACAAGTTCCCGGGCAAACATCGATGTACGCTATGTTGTACATTGCGTCAAACGCTCGAGATATGGCAAGCAGATCAGACATCCTAATGTGTATGTGCAATACATGTAGCCCAAATGGAGTGTTTTTGTTTGTACAGGGAATAACTTATATATGACAAAACATGATATTGTGGTATTGAATGAACCACAGGTACGGTCCAGTCGCATAGGGTACACCACATGGTTGAATAACCACGTGTCCTGGCAATCCTTAATTGCAACCCTTACGATGTGGTGTCTCAAGTATGGTTGATTGTTACCATGGTTGATTCATACCATGTTTGTGTTTATGGGCCCAGATTGGGCAGTTGGTAACAGTTGCATTGGTATTAAGCTTTATTTTGATATAGAGAATATCATACCGGATGTTAAATCTCATTATTCACCGTGTTAAATCTCTTTGTGCCATGGGCACACATTGATGACGGAAATGCATCAACCTAGCAAGTGTAAGCATGCAGGTATATTTGTAGAGATCACAGTACAAGCAGAGTCAAGAAGTGAGCAAGTGAGGGACAGTAGGCACAAGGCCTAGAACAGTACAGAAACGCTGATGATCACAACGTCTCTCCGTCCTCCAAGCACAAGCCCCATGCCCGACGTACTGCACAAGTAGCGCAACACCCTCTTAGCGGCATCCATGTGCTCCTTCCGGTGACGGCCAGGAGCGACATAGCGTGCTAGGATGCTAAGAGGGTATGCAAGGTCAGGTCGAGTGCAGGTCATCAGGTACATGAGGCAGCCCACAAGCTCTGGATACGGGCCACTCGGCTCTACGGACTCATCCGAAGGCAGAGCTGAGAGCGAGTGACCGGTAGGCAGAGGAGTGGGCTGAGGCGAGGAGTACGTGAAGCAGAAGCGCTGAAGGACCTGCTGCACCATGTGTGACTGAGTCAAGGTGATGGTGCGCTGTGCTCTGTCCCGGGTGATCCGCAAGCCAAGATAGCTTGTCAGTTCACCCAGGTCTGTGCACGTGTGTCTCTTCTGCAGCTCCGACTTCACGTCGGCGAGTGCCTCAGTGTCAGCAGTAGCAAAGACCAAGTCGTCTACGTACACTAGAACGTAGAACGGCGGCAGAGTGGTGTCGGTGCGTAGAAACAGCGACGGGTCAGCAGTGGAAGGAGCAAACCCAAGAGCAGCAAGAGTAGTCTTCAGTGTGTCGTGCCACTCACGGGGTGCCTGGCGGAGACCGTAGACTGGCCGCCGGAGGCTCCACTGGGTACCAGGAGGGAACGACCCAGTGAAGCCAGGTGGGCGGCGCAGCCAGATCTCCTCGTGCAGGCTGCCCTGTAGGAACGCAGTGCTGAAGTCAAGAGAGTGGAGCTCGTAATCACGCTGAGTGGCGACGTGCAGCAGAACCCGAAGAGTGGTCATCTTCGGGGTCGGGGAGAAGGTCTGGAAGAAGTCAACTCCCTCTCGCTGACTGAAGCCTCGTGCAACGTACCGCGCCTTGAAGACAGGCGGAGAACCCGGTGGCCGCTTCACTCTGAAAATCCACATGCCACTGACGATGTTCGCCCCAGGTGGGGGAACCTCGTCGACGTAGGTGCCTGTGGACTTCCAGGAAGCCATCTCTGCGTCCATGGCTGTCTGCCACTGAGAGGAGTAGGGACCCTCCATCGCCTCTGCGTAAGAGCGTGGGGTCGGGATGTCTGGTGCATCCGGGTCTCCCTCAGGGGCAATCAGCATGGACACGAGATGAGGTAAAGCAGCAGCAAAGCACTCAAACTCCTCCTGTCTGTCCTCAAGGACGTCCGTGCCAAGAGCACACTCACCCCCGACGGACGGAGGACAGACAGACTCAGACTCAGCAACAAGGCTAGCGGCGTAGTCTAGACGACAGGCGGCAGCAAAGTCAACAAGCTCAGCGACTAGAGCAGACGCAGCAGAGGACTCAAAGGTAGGGTCAGTGACAACAGTAGCGAGGAAACGCGTGACAGTAGGACTGGCAGCATGAGCAAGGTCTGACGGCGGGTCAGCAACGTCAGGAAGAGAGGACGCAGGAGGAGACGGCAGAGGGACACGCCGTGGAGCAGTGAAAGGACGCAGGGTCATATAGTGAGTGCCAAGGACAGGAGGAGGACGCTGACGAGGAGCACGACGACCAGCGCGGACAGCGCGGACAGGCGACTCTGGACGCGACTCATGCGACTCTGGGCTAGACTCAGGCGACGGAGGACGAGACTCAGGCTCACGACGCTCCGTAAGACTACCCGTCGGCGCAGTGTAAGGAGAAGGACCAGGCAGCAGAGAGGCAGGCTGTAACTGTGACTGCGACTGGACAGGCGGTGGACTCAGTAGGGGAGGAGTAGGACTAGTAGAGGGCGGGAGACCAAGAACCTGCTGAAGGAGCGGAACGTAGTACGGCCGCGACCGCTCAGCACCTCCAGCTCCAACCCCCTCAGCAGCTCCAGTCCCAGCAGCTCCAGTACCTCCAGTACGAGCACCTCCAGGACCTGCGGCTCCAGCAGCTCCAGCACCAGCAGCACCACCAGCAGCACCAGCACCTCCAGCAGCTCTAGCAGCACCGCCAGCAGCAGCAGTGCCTCCAGCAGCTCCAGCACCAGCAGCACCTCCAGCAGCTCCAGCAGCACCAGCAGCACCTCCAGCAGCTCCAGTAGCACTGCCAGCAGTAGTAGTGCCTCCAGCAGCTCCAGCACCCGCAGCACCTCCAGCAGCTCCAACAGCACCAGCACCAGCAGCACCTCCAGCAGCGCCAACAGCACCAGCACCAGCAGCACCTCCAGCAGCACCAGCCGCACTGCCAGCAGCAGCAGCACCTCCAGCAGCACCTCCAGCAGCGCCAGCACCAGCAGCACCTCCAGCAGCGCCAGCAGCACCGCCAGCAGCAGCAGCACCTCCAGCAGCACCTCCAGCAGCGCCAGCAGCACCGCCAGCAGCAGCAGCACCTCCAGCAGCTCCAGCTCCAGGGTCCGCGACACTAGTAGCGCCACTCCGGAGACTGCAGCGCCGAGCGTACCACTCTCGGAGCCGCTGGGGAAAGGGCAGCTCCCGCCTAGGAGGGGAAGCACGAGCACCAGCTCCAGCAGCACCCCTAGCTCCAGAAGCACCCCTCCTGAGGCTGCAGTACTGTAAGTACCACTCACGCAGCTGCTGTGAGGAGAGAGCGCCTCCAGGTGTAGTACGCTCAGTCGCAGCACCCTCTGGCTCAGTACCCTCAGACGTAGCACTCCCAGGCTCAGCACCCCCAGACTCAGCACCCCCAGACTCAGCACCCGCAGGCTCCGCACCCCCAGGCTCAGCACCCCCAGACTCCGCGACCCCAGGCTCCGCACCCCCAGGCTCCG